AAAAAAAAAAAAAAAATGGAAAAAATTGCAAAAAAACGAGAGACTCTTTTTTCTGGGTGCCTCTGCTGCTGCTCTTTTGTTTAGCTCTGGTTCGACCACTCACTCTGTAGAAAAAGGTACATCTATATTCTCTTTCGCCATAGTTTTTTTCTTTTATTATCATTATTTTCTGTTGAGTTGTTTGGCATAAGCACTTGGATATGTGTCAAAATTCAAGACATCAAGTTGATTTCACTAGTGCAAAAAGCAAAAAGTATCTCATAGATACTTTAAATGCCAAATCAAAAGAAAATGTGAAAGGAAATCTTTGCAATTGACAGAGCTTAAATCGAAATATTTGTTGACTTATTTATGGGAATTTTCACAGTATCTTATATATGCAAATAAATTACATATACAATGGAGGACAAAAGTATTTTGACAACGCATTGCAAAAACTTTAACCGCTTATTTCTGCGTGCTGAGAGAAGTAACGGTACCCATTATATTTTTTAGAGAGAGCAAACATACTAGGCTTTAAGTGACCATAATATTGCATTGATGACATGACTCATTATTTTTCTATAATTATTTGCATGGCGGATTATCATTATTTAGGTGGACAAAAGTATTTTGACATTCCCTTTCAAATTCATTTTCGGTAATTTGCTTGGATTCAAAAATACATATTTTTTCCTTTTAAGTTATTTTTGGTGTCCTCTTTAATAATAGCCATTATTTGATAATAGTTTTCGGTAACTTATGGGCAAACAACGTGATTAAGTGAAATCATTAAAAAATTAGTCGCAAACGAAGAATTGTGCAGGTATTTCCGTGGAAAACCTTACAGCCTTATAAAATGCACCTCTATGCGCAATTTACAACTAAATTAACAAAAAATAAAAAACTGATTCACTCAAACAAGAAGGCCAGATCGGAAAATTCATTCAAAAAAACCTGTAGAAGGTCGCATCATATTAACAAATCTTAAAGAAAATGTGCGCATTTTCATAAAAGTCATGTCGATTAAGCCCAAAAATAATCATAAATTATCAATAAGCAGAAATACTATCACAAGTCGGCGAAAGAAGGCAAATTTTTCTACGTTATAGATGTTCCAATACTCTTAATATCACTATAAAATAAACTAAAAAGGTATCGATTTGCTAAAACCTTCATAGGCAAGCCGCAATTCTTCTGGGGAAAAGTATTATGGATGGACGATAGTTCCTTTGGGTATCCTGGATTTAAAAAAAGCGATTTATAACAGGTTGCCAAAGAATATTCGCAAAAAAAGAGGCGTATGTACCCACGTGCTGAAGAATCGGTAATGCTCTGGGGGCTCGCATGTGTCAATAGCCTCTCCAATTTGATATTAATTAATGAAAAAATGAAGAGGGATAATTATTTACGTGTCCTGAATGACCACTCATCGAATTCCGGTTACCGGCTCATTGGAAAATCATGTATACTGCAGCAGGACAATGCTCCATGCCACAAGGTCCATATTTTAACTGAATTTTCTGGGAATATTGAAGTCAATACATATGATTGGCCACCTCAGCGCTCTGATCTCAATATTATAGAGAATGTGTAGGCTTACGCAAAAGTAAAACGTAGCTTAGACTTATCAAGAACGCCCAAGGAGACGGATTGCTGAGGTTTGAGGACCTTAGCAGGATTTTTCAATAGAAACATTACAAAATTTGGTTAGATCGATCCCTAGACGCTTGCAGATAGTAAAGGAGGGTTTAATTCTAATTAATATTTTAGTTACTATTACCATTGTTAAGTTTTTGTCTCACTTTATTTAATAAATATTAATGTCAAAATACTTTTGTCCACCCAAATAATGACAATCTGCCATGCATATAATTATAGAAAAATAATGAGTTATGTTATCACTGCAATATTTTGGTCATTTATAGCTTTTTATGTTTGCTCTCTCTGAAAAATATAATGGGTACCGTTACCTCTCTCAGCACGCATAAATAAGCGGTTAGAGTGTTTGCAATGCGTTGTCAAAATACTTTTGTCCTCCATTGTAGATTAAGCAATCGAAATGACAGAAAGCAGTGAACGACACACATATATATGTATACACAGCCAAACACACACAGATACACGCATACGCAAACGCTAACATTTTCGTACGTGCGATGACGTAAAATGCAGCGCAACCGCAATTCCAATCAGAATCAGCTAATTTAAATGTGGCCGTTTTCTCACACTCGAAGCATTTTTGTGGCTGACAAGCGGCGGTAGCACTTGAAAATAAGAAAAGCAAAACCAACAGAACAGAGCAGCGCTAAGAAATAATAGATGAAGAGGCACCAGAGCCACAGCAATAATAAAAGACCTAAGCATGAAAAAAATGCCTCAACAATAAATTCCTTGTGGCTGGGCGCCGCTGCTGCTGCTGCTGCTGCGGTTGTTGTTGTTGTTGCTGTGGCTGCTGCTGTTGCTATTGGTTGCGTTTTCATAAACAAAACACATGCATAAATGCTTAGAAAGTATGTATGTATGTATATATGTATGTGCGTGTGTGTGTCCGTTGCTTTTGTTAATTGCCATTTGAAAGTCTTTGCAACAATAGCAACGCATTGTCTTGTATTTTGTTATTTGTGGGCATTCCTTGACGCCTACCCGGCTGCCAGTGGCGTTTTGCAACACTGCCTCCACCTCTACCGCTGCCACTGCCTCTGCCTGTGACTTTTCAATTAGAATAGCAAATTGTTCAAGTCGAGGCCTTTGCTCTCCTCACTCAATCAGCACTCGCGCTCTGTATTTGTTGTACAAGCATACATACATATGTATGTATGTTTATATACATATACAGCTATCTTGCTCTATCCCTTCTACTGCAGCGCATATCCTATTGCACACCGTTATTTGTATAAATTAAGGCATTTCTTTTGTGCTCTTCACACATACACAGACTCACAGTCACATATGCATGTGTATTTGTGTTTGTAAGTAATTTGCTCGTCTTTGTTTGACTGCGGCTAAAAACTGATTTTGAAAAGCACAAACACTCGCTCACACAGGCACACACACACACACACACACACACATTGCGCACTTACAGCTCAGCACAATACACTTACATTGCAAGAAAGAGCTTGGCCAGCTGAGCATGGGCCTGGGCATGGGCATGGGCTCGGGCCTGGGGCCTGGGGTTGGGCAGTCAAGTTGGCCTCTCGCTCGTTCGGTCAATGCGCGTGCTTGAATGTTGTGCTTATTGCGGTTATTACTGTTGTTTTTGCTGCTGCTGCTGTTGTTGTTGTTGTTGTCTCTGCTATTGCGCAAGCCTGCCCGCTTGCGGTGGTTGCTGTTGTTGCTGCCTTCATTGTCATTGTTGTTGCTGCTGCTGCTGTTGTAGTTGTTGTAGGACTCGGTTTACTTTCGCATTGTCGCTCGTCTCAGTTTTCTGCAAAATGTGAAGAAACAACAAAAGGGCAACAAATGATTACCAAGATATTCACGTACATGAACGTGCGAGGGTTGCTCAACAAGTTCATTAAACTTTTACGAACTTAAAAGAAAGGAATATGGTGACTATTATTATGTATGCATATACTACAAAATAGTAAATTTAATAACTGTATATATACATACATATAAATAATGTTAATTATGTTACATAATTAATTTACACGGCCAAAACTACATATATTAGTTATATTGAAGCTTCTTTTTATAAATATAAATTCACAGCATTTTACATATTTCTGAGCTATACATTTTTTGAAACTGCCCTCGCTTAAGAACTTCCACTTGAGCCGCAAATTAAAAGCGGATAGAACAATTTACTTGAGTTTAACGAAGTTTTTATGCTCTAGTGCATATATGATTGTATCTACACAGATATATGTATACATACATACAAATGAATATGTATATATGTATGTATGTATGTGGCTTGATCTCTTGATGATCTGCGGAAAATCTTGCATAGATAAATCAAAGTAAATTTGATGTTAAGGAATGTGGAGTTCAGGCAGACACAAGACACACACATATACACACATACACGCTTGCTTCGTTGAGGGTATTATAAAAAGAGCTGAGCGTAAAATGTAAATGGGCCACATTGCAATTATAACTTGAAAAACTGCAGAACGAACAAATTAAAATTGCGGCCAAACTCGATTAATGAACGAAGTCTGTTTATACCTCAACATATGCATACACACATATGTGTGTGTGTGTGTGTGTGAGTGTGTGTGTAAATGCTGTACGCTTTGCATTTTCGCTGCATTTGCTTATTTGACAAAAAAGTACTCAACGATACAGACACGTACTCGAACTCGAGCTGGCATTCGCATTCGCATCCATAAGATACTTTCGCATTTATCCGATACATTCGTATTTATAAGATACACAACCACAAAAACACCAAGAAGAAGAAGACTTTGATATGCGCGTACCGGTTGACGAAAGATGCTTCATTCCCTGCATCTGCATCTGCACCTGCCACCGCCCCTGCCCCTGACCCCATCTCCATCTCCATCTCTTTCCCTCTCACTCTTTCTCTTCTTTTTCTCGGTCTGCTATCTCAGTGCCCCTCCATATGGATATAGCTCATTTAGATCTGCGGATCGACTGCTGCACGGCTGCTGAGCGTGACGGTGACACGTTGCATGGGGATTATGCAAAAAAGCCAACGAAGTTGCAACTGCAACTGCAACGCTCGCTGGCAGCTGTGGCACGCACAGTGGGGCCAAGAAATGCTAAATCTAAACAAAAAGTCAACAGCATTCACATTTGAATGAGGAAATGCAGGTAAATAAAGGTGTAATTGTTTATAAACATGCACAAGGAAACGAGGAAAACAAATTCCAAGTAGTCGTAGTCGTAGACGTAGTCATAGTCATAGACCAAGTCGCAGTCTCTATAGCAAACAATTTCCATAGCATTTGGTTTGAGTAAACAACAGTGTTGGAAAGTTAACCGACAATCAGCCATTGCTTGGCTCTAGCTGAAAGGTATAGATAGGTACTATATAGATGTATGTATATAGTTTAAACAATTGTACACACATACATACATGCAGACATATAAATTGTAAACAAGTGCTCGATATTGTTGCATTGATGGTTTAGGTACATGAATTGAATACTTGACAGCGAGATATTCTCGGCCAAGATAAACAGCCGATTATCTCGTATGTGGTCTATGCATACTCAATGGGTTCCGTTGGAAAGTTGCTTTAAATTGAAGACGAGTTGAGTGAAAGCAAGCAAATATCGTTGAGAATGGTACGATTTATAAACATTTAGTTTGGGCATCAAAATAGGATATACTTGGGATCAATCAGTCGCTTGAGTTTAGTGATATAGCAGGCTGTCATATGTTTCCTTTGGCTGTGGTAAGGTGTGATATATGGAAAGGAGGGTTTGTGATCTACTTAAAAATGATCCCCTGAGTTAAAAGTCGTAAGACTTGTACTTTAGCGATCTAGTAGGATCCCGCCATTGACTACAGCCAATATACCATAATACATGGTACATATTTTAGATGTTAACGGAAAATATATTTAAGATTAATTTTAATTTTTTTTTTTTTAAATATTAATTTAAGTCATGTGGTGAAGTCTCTGATCTAACATTAAATTGCAATAAATACAAGTCTTTCATCTATCCTTTAGATCTCTAGACATAATTATATTTATGTTATATAAATATACATAAATATACATAAATTCAGTTGTATTCCTTTTAAAGAAAAGGCGGTTTGCTTTATAAATCTTAAGCCAATTAGAATAACCGCTAGAGACACTCATCTTAATTAGTGAAATGACTAAATTTGAGATTTGTAAGTGCAACTTTTCCCGCCCTATCTTAATTTTGAAGAACCCCATTTAAGTAGAACTGCTCAATTATCAACTATGAATAATAGAAGCAGTTAAGATATCATGTATATAGTCATAAAAATGAAACAGAATCCCATGAATAGCTTTAATGTGCCACGATATGTATGTTAATTGTGAGTTGAAGACCGTCCGTGACATGTGCTCGATAAGAAGAGAGCTCTTAACCGAGCAGACGTGTATACAAGTATGTATGTATGTATATATGTTTGTATATGTGTTTTGTATGTCGTGTTAAGAGTGGCTTGTGACCCGGCACAGTTTTAAGCCCGGTTTTTTTTTCGGTGGATGCGTCGACTTTATGGCATTGCCCAAAATGTTTCTTGCATAATACTCGAGACGATAATGGCCCATGGGGCAGGTTAAAGCCGGAGCTGTGATACACTCATATATAGTGTGCATGTGTGTGTGAGTGTGTGTGAATGTTGACCGGGTAAAACCACCTCAATAAACAAAAACAAAAACAAACATACACACGCACACTCATTTGCTCTCGGCACATTTTGAATCGCCTTGATTATTGGCTTGGTAAACATACCAACCGCCCCCCTTGGTCGCCTCCCCCCGCATGTAACACCCACCCCGTGGCAGCTCCGACATCTGTTTCTGTTTCTGTTGCTGCAGTGACGCAGTCCACAAATTTGTACACACAAATCAGTATATGTATGTGTGGATGTATATATATTTACATATACATATATATTGTATATTAAAAATCATTTTCATTTTAATTTCAATTTCAATTTCAGTTTCGATTTCGATTTCATTATGGTTTTCCGCATTCTACCCTGTAGCCATTCGAAATTTTTGGTATAATCATGCTTGTATATTTCGTACATAATTGATGTACAGTCGTGAATATATATATATATATAAATATTTCCTATATCTGGTGATTTATGCTTGATATTCGATTTCGTTTTGGGGGAATTGAACGAAATTTGTTACGAAATCGCAGAACAATTTGATTTCATTTTGTGTGAGTCAATGAAGGTATGAATTGATAATGGAATGGATAATATATACATACAGATACTTAAATATATTAATACAGAAATAATTTGATCCAGTTTACCATTGATTTATATAACAGCACGATTTTGATGATGATATTGCTCATTGCTCATATCATATCAGATCATTGTACAATAGTCAAATTCTTAACCCACTATTTATATAATCAGCTATATAATGATATAGGGGTTCTATCAGATCATTTCCCACAAATTTGTATACAAATAATGGTAGAAATACAAATACTGACCAAAATATATATAGCAAAAGGTATTGAAATATTTATTCAGTTGCTAACAATATAAATGCTAAAAGTCCTATTATATAATATTATAATTATATCAACTATCCAAACTGCATATAACTGATGAAATTACCAATAACTGAGTTTCACTTAGATCTCTTTAGGCTGGGAGTATCTAAGGCCTGCGGGGTATCTGCTCGTCGAGCACATATTTCTTGTTAGCCAACTGTGTCAGCAGCGTCCAAGGCAACACTCTCTTGTATTGAGAGGAGGGGTGGGGGAACTGTGCTGTTGTGGTTGGTGTTCCGGGTGTTAGGTCGTCGCCGATGGCTCGGGGGGAATCAAGTAAAAAGTTCTTATCACGGCGTGTTAAACGTGTGTCCATTTCTTCTATCAATATGCATAACATTTAAATGGACTCAAGAGGATGCCATAAAAACACGCACACACACTATGGCTCTGTGTGTGTGTGTGTGTGTGTGTGTGTCAAGGGTTGCGCTGATTATTTTATGGCCATGTGGAAATCTACAGGAAATGTCCGAATAGCCAACGGCGCTGCCCAAGCATTTTTCCATTGAAAAACAATGAAAAACATTTCACATTTCACATTCCTACGCCTCTTTTTGTTGCTCTTCTTCTTCTTCRCCGTCTTGATTTTTATGGCACTCTCAAGTGGTTCGTTCGCAGCGCAATAAATGCAGAAGAAGAAGCAGCAGCAGACGCAATTGTAAACTTGGCGCATAGCTGTAAAATAATTAAACAAGCCTAGGCCAAGCATGGTCAACACACGCATGAGAATTTCAACAGCAGGCGCCGCGGCGCCTTCGCCGACAGTGTTGGAAAATTTCCCGAAACTGAAATAACCACACACACACATATGTCTGCCTGCCGTTGATTTCCATATGTCCTGTTATTTCCCATCAAGTTTCCATTGCAATTGCAATTTTCATTTCCCATCTTTGGGCGTATTGCAAAAGTCACAGGGAATCAGACCCGGCAGCAATCACTGTGTGGGCGTACTTAATGGATGAATCGCGCTTACTCAAGAGCAGTAAAAGAAAATAGAGAAAACCCATTTGCAGATTTTAATTGACTTCATGTGAAGCGCAGAAAATGAGTGGGAAATGTTTGCAGCGTGGTATACATAAATCTATTTACATTTATATTCATATCCGTATTCATGTATATGGATGGGTCTACATATACATAGATCCTTATTGATTCATATATCTATGTATACATATCTATGTCTATATCTATATCTATATCTATATCTATATCTATATCTATATCTATATCTATATCTATATCTATATCTATATCTATATCTATATCTATATCTATATCTATATCTATATCTATATCTATATCTATATCTATATCTATATCTATATCTATATCTATATCTATATCTATATCTATATCTATATCTATATCTATATCTATATCTATATCTATATCTATATCTATATCTATATCTATATCTATATCTATATAAGAGATCTATATAAGAGCTACCGCATCATTGTTAGCTGATTCAGGCATCCATGCCAAGCAGTACAGTTAGCTGAGTTCAGATAGCTAACTATGGTGAAATAAAGTTTTAAATAGAGACCAATTCATTCGTAAGCAGGAAGCGTGACACAAATTACTCATTCAGGGTTAGTCAATTAATTAGTTGGAAATCATCTTATACTTTATACTTCATCATATGGTACAAGACTAGAAACTGCCTATATCTGAAATCATATTTATATTTATTGATACTTGACTTTACGAGCTCTATCACATATACATGCCCAAATAATATACTCCAGTCTTATAAATGTATGACTAGTTTAAATGAAATCGTGGCATAATATGAGACGTTTTTCTTTTTCGTGAGTTATCTTTGGCAATTACGTGCTTCGCTGCCTTTAGTCGAGCTATCTAGAAAGTCGTATTAAAACGGAGTACTATAATATTCTACTATAGAAACTATCGCTGCCATATAAATCAGTCGTACAGAGATTGTCTACCAGGATTGACATCTACCCAAGTCTCTCTCAAAGATCGACAGATATAGCAAATGAATTATATATCAAATATGTTCCCACACATGTATGCAATTTATTCATTTAAATTATTCACCAATGAGTAACTCCCTCGAGTTCTCTGTTAGGTTTCGCAACTTCAGCTGGGGTCGTATTACCTCATTAGAGAGCAACTAATGCGAAATAATTTGATACAGCTGTTAAATCTTCGCCGTAGATGCACGATGAATTCATCGTCTTAGCATGACAAACAGAGCTTTGTTGACTCCATCTGAGCGACAGGCAAATGGAATTTTCAGTTTAAATAATGATATCTTTGTTATTTCTGCTTTTAAGTTCTGTTTGCCACCGAGCGAAAGAAAGTGAGGCAATTGACGGCTCTATGACTGGATATTTGTATTTGCATTTGCATTTGCATTGCTGTTTATCTTTGCTAAAGGTGTGTCTCGATTACAAGATTTACCTGTGCGTCTGTTTGTCCAAGGCACACAAACACACACACACACACGCACACGCTCATAATCTTATCAGCATAGTGCTGGCCATAAAGTTGGGTATGGTCTTAAAGACCGTCTGGAGAGATTCCTTACATAATTGTATTGTCTAAGCTTACGATATGTATGTACATATATATCATATAAACTATGTACTCGACTAGATCAACAGTTATGTCTGCAGCCCGCACAATGCCTAGATCCTAATTCCTAGTTTTATGAGTCCCATTATATGATTACTGATCAAATAGCTCACCTTAGCAAATGGTCTCCAGGGGTATCTTTGCTGTAGTTGTTGCTGCTGCTGCTGCTCCTGCTTGGGGTATGGAGGGGGGTTGGGTAGTTGGACTGCACGGCGCAGGTATCGAGGTGGGGGCATCCTCTGTAGTGGGGCTGGCAGGTGTCATGGTTGTTATCGTGTTGTTCATGGAGATGTTTTGGGTGAATTCGGTGCCATTGGCCATGGAGGGCAGACCCTGGGAGCTGCTCGAGTGTTGCACGCCATTGGTGGTGTTGGTGATGTCGTGTCGGAGGCGCGGACAGCAGATGCGCTTGCAGGCGGTCCACACCTGCGGCTGGCAGCCGACCACGATGAATATGAAGACGCCCTGGAGCGCATTGATGAGATCCGTCAACAGCCAGGCACCATGCGGCCCGCCCACCAGCCACGAGATGATGTCCCAGATCCAGGTGACGCCCATCACCACCACCAGCTTCAGGCACACGCGACCCAGCGCCGATTTCTCCGACGTGGACTTGACATCGTCGCGCTTCCACAGTCCACACGTCAGCTGATGCGTGGTGGAGATGAAGAGCACAATGTTGGCGCACAACAGCAGTCCGATCGGGCCGTAGAAGTAGGCGAAGATGGTCAGCGAGCGATTGTCGAACCAGCAAAACGGCTGACCAAAGCCCGGCCGCAGCATCGAGGTCTCCGTCTCCGGCAGCTGATCCACAAAGGCGGCAATGGCGCAGATGAGCAGGGGCAAGCCCCAGGCATAGACGGAGTATAGACGCAGGCGAATCGACTCCTGATTGCGCTCCAGCGAGCTGGGCCGAAAGTCTCGGAATGTCCACCAGATGTTGAAGCACATCGTGTTCAGCCAGAAGAAGGCGGACAGGAAGAAGAACTGCATGCCAATGGCAATGAGCAGACAGCTTGCTGTGCCCGGCTCTAGGCTTGTGCTCAGCTCCTCGATGGCCAGCAGAATCTTGCCCACCAGCAGGCAGAACACGTAGTAGATCTGGCAACGCCAGTGCAGTGCATGATGCACTGCCGGCAGCATATACCCGGCAACCAGAGTGGCCGCCAAAAAGATAATGGATATGATGATGCCCACGTCCAGCACAGCCTTTTGCAGATTGCCGTTTGCCCCGCCATAGGAGATGTTGTTGTGGTCGTCGGCAAAGTGCTGGGCGCAGGCAATGATCTTCACCTCGCCCGCTCGCTGCGTGTGCTCCAGGCAGAACTGCGCAGCCGTCAGATTCGTGTGGCTGAGCTGCAGGGAACCGCTGCTCCGGTTCAGTGTCGCCTCATGCCAGTCCCCGGCTATGGCATAGCCAGTGCCGTTGCCTTTGCAATCGGGCAGCTCATAGGTAGTCTGGTAACTGCCTGTCTCCAGATTGGGCAGATTCAGCTGCCCGCTGTCCGAGCCGCGCTCGGCGGGCGTCAGGACGCTGCAGGTCTTGGCCACGGTATCGTAGTAGCAACACTTGCCGCAGCATTTGCGCAGGCGCAGCATGGGCGCTGTCGAGCTGGCCGGTCGCAGTGCATCGTCAGTGGAGGCTGATGCACCTGCGCCATCAGCAGCCGCTGGGGTCTCAAGATCCTTGTTCTTGTCCTTGTCGAGGCAGACCAGCGCCACTCCTTGATCCACACAGTAGCGAGAGGGCTCGATAAATAGGCCACGCTCGTGCACCTTCATCGTGCCATTGGTCAGGAGTACGACATTCGCGTCACGGCTACTAAACAGCTCCTGCTGCTGGCCTTGCGCCTGGCAAGGCGGCCGCACGTTCGGCAGGAACTTCATGAACCGTGGCTTGGCGCCTCTGGGCTCAAAGAAGCGATTCTGCTGCTTCAGATAGACCAGCGGCACCCACTTCTCAGACGAGCCAGCGACGCACTCCAGAGTGCTGCCAATCAAATATTCGCCATGGTGGCAACACTTGTTTATCAAAACACGCGGTGGAGGCGGCCGACCCGACGCGTTGCCAGGCGACGCCGCTGTCGTTGTTGTTGTGAGCAAATCCTCTTGGCTGTTCGCAGTGCCGATCAGCAGCGCTAGCAAAAGCCAAAAGCTCTTCATCTTTGTGTGTGCGTTTGTGTGTGTGAGGGAGTGGAATTTAAAATGTATTGCGCAAGGCTTCGTTTCTCAATCCTCGTTTGTTTGTATGCCTAGTTTTACTGTTGCACGCAACACTGTTTTTACTGCACTTTCAATATAATAAATATGTTTATATTAACAATTCAAAATTAAAATTGATTGAACACAGTTTTAATTGCCTAATTGCATTGGTTGCTACATTTTCTGCTATGTTTTTCTTGTTGTGAGCCTCCTTTGCATTAGTTCGTCATAATACTACTTTTTTCTGCAGCTGCTGCACACAACACTGTTTTCGTAGCGGTGTCTCCTGTTTGTCTGAGCCCAGCTGAAGGTAAGCTTAGCTGCTGCACACAACACTGTTAGACGCCTGTTGCCTTCGCTGTACTTTCAAAACACAGAGACTGAGAGAGAGAGAGACACACACACATATATATGTTCACACATATACATATGCTTGAGCAATGCTGAGCGGTAATTTTGTTGTTGTTTTGTGTCTTATTTTCTTCATCTAATTTCGTGGGCTCTCTCTTGTGTGGCTTCTTGTGCGCACGTTTGCAGGCGCTCGTTGTCAATTATGTGGAAATACAAATACTGTTGTTGCTCCTCGTTTTCTTGTTGTCTATCTTGTGCATTGTGTTTGGCACTATTTATTGTTGTTGTTGTCTCGCCCGCTGTCCGCCCCTCTACTGCATGTGTTGGCCTTGCCAGCGTCGTCGTCAAGCACGCATGATCTTTTTCTCTACTTCTCTTCAGCTTTTCGCTTTCGTCTTCGTCTCGCTCAATTGTCTTGTTCTGCTGCTGCTGCTTCTTCTTCTTCTGTTTCTTGTTGCTGTTTCGTTTCGGTTCCCAAGCGTAGCAGAAAATTTGCTTTTCACTTTTCTCCTCCGTCGCTCATCAATGGCATTTTATTTGCGTTTGTTTAACACTTACTAACCAAATGCTTTAATTTGGCTTCTTTAACTTGGCTACACTCGGTTTAACTTCGCGTCTGTTGAGCGAACCACAAATTGAATTCCAAGCGCGTCGTTCGAAAAAAGATGATAAATCGAAAAAAAAAAACGCACAGACAAAAAATTTCACGGCGAGCTGCACGCCTGCACTGAGCGAATACAAAAAACCGACTAGCGGACTGTTAACTGTTAACAGGCATGCATTCACGTTGTGCAGCTGCTTACGTTCGGACACTGTTGTAGTTGTTGTTATATCGATATGCTTTACCACCTCGCTGTTATCGATGCTTTGGCGCGCTTCTTGCCGGTATTGTTCAGCACTGCTTTGTCGCGCCAACAGCTGTTGCTCTAGAGTTTGGATAGCTGGTGCTAGTCTTGGACAAACTCTTTGGACTTTTTCATATTGGTTCTGTTCTTGGCTATTTACAATTGTATTGCATAGTTTTGGGCAGAATTTTTAAGGCCTAGAGAGCTTTTACATTTTGGATTGTGTTACGGCTAAGCTGTAAGCTTTTATTGTTCCCAGTATTGAAACTTTTGTTTGCTATAATTTGGTTTGTGTTTGTAAATAATGGTTTATCAAAGATTAGCACCTTTGCTATAAAGAGGAACTTTGCCTATTTGCTTTTTCACTTTTTAGCTATATCTCTCTCTTTCTAAGTTTTATCCTCCCTATCTTGCTATCACCCACTCTCTCTCTCTATTTCCTTGTCTCTTTGTAAATTATTAGTGCACCTAGGCTAGTTAATACCTCGAGAGCTCAGCTAAAAAAACTAATAAATAAATCCCGTCGCCCCGTTGACACCTCTCCAAAGGCAGACGAAAAGGGGGAGTGGCTGCCGCCTGGCAGCAGTGCATCTATTTTTGGGGTGGCTGCCCCGCTGGAAAATTAGATAGAAAATAGAAACAAATCCATTTGATTAAAGTTGTATGACATGGTAGGGAGGGGGGGGGGGGGGTTGGCAGGGTGGTGGCTGGGTGGTTGTCTGACTGATTTACAGGGTATGCGTGGCTCGGTCTCGGGCATTAAGACATCAAATGGACAGAGCCCAAAACTCTGACAGCAGTGAAAATCGTTAAGTCAGCGAAGTGGAACAGACGACGCTTGCAAAAATTCACCACGGCCTTGGCACTGGAGCCACAACCACCCACAACCACCCACAAGCACCCAGAACCAGCCACCCGAGCAGCTCAACCTGCTCGGCTTTTCGGTTGCTCTCTGGTGCTTGAAATTAGATTTTTGACTGAGCGACTGGTGGAGAAGAGCAGCAGCAGGAGCAGGAGCAGCGACAGCACTTGGCCAGTGTTGCATAACATTCGTTGCGAGTCTTAAGTGCGCCACACGTGCCCACACACAGGGGGCGTGGCGCTGCTGGGCGCTGGCACAGAGGCGGGTTAGGAGCAGCAAGCTCATGAGCTCGAGCAAATCCTGCAGCGCAGAGCACGTGATTTATAATACCCTGTAAATGAGGAGGTGGGCAGCGCCTCTCTCTCTCTCTATCTATTCAATAAGGGGCCACTGTGGGCGGGGGCTTTGGACTGTGTGCTGGCGCGCCGTCAAGTTTTTTGGGCAACAAATAAATGTTTATGAGCGGATTATGTTTGCCTTAACCGAATGCCGTCTGAATTTAATGAGCCCAGCCACTAGTGGCGCGCTCTGCTAGACTGCTGGCATACCCTGTAAATGGCAGTGGGCAGATATTTCATTTAATTAAATTTCTACTTATTTATAATATTGTATAATAGTATTGATTGTATATTGATTGTATAACGTTTAATCACACTCGAACAGCTTATAGTTTCCTGCTGGCCACGCCCCTTCATTGTTGGTTTCCTTTACAGGTAGAGCTATATATCTGGAGGAATTCAATAGTGATGCACTTGCGGATTTCCTATAAATTTGAGTCTAAAACTGAGAAGAGCTTTTGCCGTTTGGCCACGCCCCAAGTCATCTTATTGAGATATCTCTGTATCACATTATAAACATACATATTTATCTATCTCTCTACCTTTAGTTTGAGCTTACATAACTTTAAATAGATTTTACATACAGTAGACCCTCGGTTAACGAACGACTGTGATAACTAATATTTCGCATAACGAATAAGATGCTGTAACAAATTATGTTCGTTAGCCGAGGATCCACTGTAATCGAATTATACTACGCCCAGCCACGCCTTTAATAGGCGTAATGGGTATAGCCATAAGTTCATGTTTCGAATTTGAAATCTCCTGCTTCAATAGCGAAATGAATCGCCATCATGCAGATAGATGAGCTCTCGGACAGACGGACTGACGGATGGGTAGCAACCAATATACCCTTTTCACTTACTGGACGGGTAGAGCCACATTTAGTTTTGGTTTGCTGCATTTTGTTAATATATTTAAATATATAACAGAAACTTATCCACTTTGTGCCTGATATTTTACAGGGTATCTGTTATAGTCTAACAGCAATGTTAACGTCGCCGTCGGCGTCGTCGTTGGCGTCGCCGTTGCCTGGCGCATTTTTTTAATTGAAATATGTCGCCGCGACATTTCATACACATTTAACAATCCATCAGACATTTTCATTTGCCCCCACTCCCCAGGTCGCTCGCCCCCCCCGTGCCGGCCTCGCCGCCCTCGCCGCCCGCACAGCCACTCGATGGCATCCACTTAATGGCACTCTTGTTGCTTGGCTCGTTGTTGTCTAATTTATGCCGCAATCGTTGCCGCCTTGTCTTCAATTAGTCGCCCGGCAACTGCAACTGCAACAGCAACTGCAACTGCCCCAAGGGGCAGCCGCTTGCATCTCCATTTACAATCGATCGAACGAGCGAGAGAGAGAGAGAGAGAGAGAGAGAGGGAGCGCGAGGGAGTGTGGGAGACTTCAAACTATTCGTCTAGTATTACTTGATACTTAACCGTCCTTTATTTATGTCCCTGTCAACGCCTCTCAGCTGCTCACTTCTCCAAATGCGAAAACCAACAAAAAATTGAAACGATTTGAAGCCGAAGACGAAGTTGATAATACCCTAACTATGTTATACATAGATAGACTTGATACTATGGCAATCACACATACATATCTGATCATCATTTAATTTTTTTATCTTATATTTCCTGTATGACTTCTAATTTTCCCTAATTTCAGCTGTCTTTCTCTTATTATCTACTGATAACAATTTCTTGATGCGTCTGTTAAATTTAACATCTACTTTAAACCAGCTTGGCTTCAGCTGACTGCTAAATCTATAGTAGAAGTTTCTGCTTCTTATTCTTTTGATACCTAAGCTAAATAATGTGAACGTATTTCATGTGCCTGTCAAAATCTCACGTCTCTGTCAAATTTAATAGCTACTTTTTTTTTATTAAAATTTCAACAGAGGAGCTCACAATTCAAGCCGCCGATTCAATCGTCAAAGTGCATGTCAAAGTTGACAGGCAGTTGGCTTTTGCTAACGACAAAACAAATCTTCTGATCAGCAAATTCATTTTCTTAACCTCTATTGGTTTTCTATGAAGCGCTGCCATTTGGTATGGCCTTGCCAGACTGCTCAATTTTCCATAAAACTTATTTAGCTCCTCTGCACGAATATACTCTAAGTAAGGGCATTCACTAGTTCTGCTTCGGTCCCCATTTTGTGGGGGGTACAGACAGACGGACGGGCGGTCGGGCGACTTTTTTTTTTTTTAGTTAATTGAAACCTGTTGTAAATCACAAATCATATTGGCGTCACTTGTCCCAACAGCAGCAGCAGCAGCAGCAACAGTTGCTGACAACAGCAGCAACAGTTGCAGATGTCGACAGTTTTTCATGTCTGGAAAAGCTCGGCTGGGGCGGCGGCAGCCCCATCTTCTTGCATTACATGCGAGGCGCATTTTCTCTGGGAAACATACGATCATAAAAGCCCAAAGTTGCATTTTAGATATAAACAGCGGGCAGTGGAACATGTCAGGGGGGGACTACGATTAGATGTCAGGGATTGCATATGCTAGATGGTATAGAGGTTTGTGAGGCGGTACATGAATCCGATAGTAGAAATGTACCAAATTTAATTGATTCTATGATATTGTTAAAAGCAATCGAATTCATTTGGTTGACATTCGAAGGAAAATACAAATTTTCCACGCACTGCCGAGTACTTTCAACCCATAATGTTATAGGTTGGCTATAGTCTCTGGTATGTAGTCGAATTGATGGACAGACCCGAAGATAAATAAACAAGTTTTAGATAGACAGACTGATAGATAGACATAAGCACTCAATGGAAATCCAATAATGATATACTATAATAATAGATATTATATGTATATATATGAATATAGGGATGATATATGTATCATAACTATGTTGGTGATAGAAGAGTTCTTCTACGAGTCTATGGACTCAATCGACCCTGTTCAAGTGTTGGTATCTTACCAAATGTTAGTCTATATAATATAGTAGTAGTACCATAGAGAGAGAGAGAGAGAGAGAGAGCCTGTTGGCACGCCATAGTTTGGATGCGAGTCGAGCTCTCTCTTATGTCATCATCGATCACAATATTGAAATGGAATCAGACAACTGTAAACTAATGACATTTGCGAGTGCTCGGGCCGATCCTGTCTGGCCTAGTGCGGTGTCCTTTGTGCGTATCCGCTTACAGCAAGGATGTCAAGGATGTTCCGCTGCGAGGGTTGCTGCTGCTCGTTTGTTTGTTTTGAGTGGGTCGACTGGCTGTCCAAATATGCGGCAGCTTGTAACAATTACCAAATGACACCCTCGACAATCGGCAATCGGCAATCCACATCCGACAACAGTCGAGGCAGAGGCAGAGGCAGAGGCAGGGGCAGAGGCGGAGTCCGAGTCGGAGGGTTGCAAAAGGACATCAAAGCCCTAGGCTAGACAAATGCGCAAATATTCAC